ATAGATTAATCATAAAATATTACAACTAGTGGGGGTGGTTATGCACTTATTCCTGCAGGAAACATGGAATGGTGGGATGGTAGGTGGATGGTAGTGGTAGGGTATGTTGAATAAAAAATGGTGTTACACCCACGACTTCACTTGTCAGCATGTTCACGAATTGAATACATGTAGCGTAATTTAGTTATTAGTGTGGCACTGAGTTTGTGAGTTCAACGTTCAAAATTTGTTATGTTTTATTTTACAACTTATATGAATGATTTTCATGTGATATTTGCAACATTATTAAAGAAAAGTTTTGACACTTTTGTGCGTCCGGAAATTAACAATAGACATCAAGTTGGCCTATACGATCACTCACAGCGAAATAACGAAAGAACCAAAATGGATAAGGTGGAAAAAACCTTCTAAAGGCACTTGGATTTTGAAAACAGATGAGGCTTGCAAGGCAGCTACAGATTTAGCGTCGGGAGCGAGACTTATACGGGATGAGAACAGAGATTGGGTTGGGGTTTTCATGATACGAGTAGGGGTGAGCATTCGATCGATTTAAGTTGAGTCGAGTAAAAAAAATTGAATTATTCGAGTTGATGAGTCGTATTTTACAACTTGAACTTAACTTGAAATATTTTCGAGTTGAGTCAAGTTTAAGAAATTCGAGTTAAGTTATTCGATTCGAGTTATTCGAGTTTGTATTCTAATTTTATTATAATTATTTATAGTATTATGACAAGAATTTATTCCAATTTTTTATTTTCTCTAACCATATAATATATATATATATATATTATATTCTTTTCACATTATAATATTATTTAATATATCAAATACAATCAAAAATTATAAAATACGTTCATAATATTATATTTTAAAGAAATTATTTTGAGGGTAAAATATTAATGAGAGTATAAAGGAGTTAAGGAATTGATGAGAAGAAAGAATTTGCAAACAATTGTAGTAAAAAGATCAAATTGGGTAAAATATAAAGTTAAGGGACTAAATAAGAGAGAGAGAGTACATTTTTAGGAAAAAAAGTAATAATTGAAGTTACATAGGTATTTTATTATGGTATATGAGCATGTGATTCAAACTTAGTAAAAAAACAAACTATAAAGAATGAATTGAAGAAATAAGAAAATTATAAAAAATTAAGAGATTAAATTAAAAAAACAAAAATTGTTATCAAAAAGAGAAATTGAAAGCAAATCTGTATTCTACGATGATTTAGGAGCATGTGATTCAAATTTGGAAAAAAATGGACTTAAAATGAATGAGGAATTAAAGGAATAATGAAATCGGTGACAAAATTGTAAAACTGTCAAAATACTTAGTCAAATTTTTTCTTTTTTGAGTAACTCTAAATTTCAAAATTTAAACTCAACTCGAACTCGAAAATCAAATTGATAATTTGAGTTGATTCGAATAACTCAAATCGAATAACTCAAAATTAAAAAAAAATTAATTTTTCGAGTCGAGTCGAGATTACTCACACCTAAATAAAGAGTAGGGCGGACAAATAGCACAACAGAGTTGTGGGGTGCACGACAGTGACTGTTATTAGCAAAATCTCTTGGAGCGACAAATCTCATTTTGGAGACATGAATCATATAATGAACACAACTAAATGGACTTCAAGTTCTCATATAATATATTTTATCTAACAATTTTTTTATTTTTTTATTTATTTTAAACTAGACATGAATCATGATCAAACTAATTAAGCATTAATTTGCAATGTTCAAGAGTTTATACGTTTAAGTGCGCTTAAATATAATTCTATTTGAAGGACAAAAGTTAAAATATTATGAATATTTTAGATATTATAAGTTGTATGAAAAAAATGAGATACTATTAAAAATTACTTTAGATCCTTAATGGGCGAGTTTATTGAGTGAGTTTGTCGCAAGTTGAGTAGTGTTTGATTTGTGCTAGTTAAAAAATTTATTGTTCGGCCTAACTCGTTATTCGTTGAGTTTAATAAAATTTTACTCGATTCGTGTTTGTTAAGCTCACCATAATTTTTACTTTAGTTTTTAATTATATGTAAAATATAATAAATTCATAATTATTAATTAATACTTTAGTTTTTTTTGTTTATTAAAAAAAATTCTAATAATTATTAATCAGTAATTTAACATCTTTCTTATTATCTCTTAATAAATTAATAATTATTAATTATATTTTTATTGAAATAATTTTTAAAGTAACTATTAAAAAAGTATACAAAAATTAATGAACTTCTCGTGAATTTATCGAGTTGAGTTAGACCTTAGTCGACTCAACTTATTAAGATTTTGAGTCAAGCTTGAGTTCCAATCAAATTAACTTGAATTGAACATTGATCAAACTGAATTCAAACAACTCACGAGTTGTTCAACTCATCATGCATCTATAATCCTTAACTTTGATCTAATAACTTGAATTGAACTTTGAAAAATGATAAATACTACAGTAATAGTTAAAACTTTGCTCATGGTTTCGAAATCCTCTTGTTAGTTTCAAAATCATCCTTTGGTGGTATCGAAACCTCTGAAGCAGTACCTTTAATTTACTTTGTCAAAATTTCACTGTGATTTCAAAACTCCATTTGTTGGTTTCGAAACCCCCTAGTGTCGCCTAGAGTACAATGCATCTTTGGTGTGTCGCTCAAAGTTTCATACGTCCTACCTTATCTATCGTAACATTCACCCCAATTCATTAAATAATTTTTGGGTATACTATTTTACGATTTTTTTAGATTTTTTAACTTGTTGGTTTCGGGTATACTATTAGATTTATCAAAATGTACTCTTAATTTGAAAAATAATGATACTCAAAACCTCTTGAGATTTGTTTTCTTATCTCTATCTTCTTATTTTTTAACTCTTTTATTTTCTTTTTTACCAAGTTAGATTTTTGGATGTTGATAGGCTCGGTTTATGAATTTGAACACTTAATTAAATTTACAAAACAAATAGAGAATGTAAAATCCTTCAAGACACTAAATGAACGCAAAGATTTAAAAATGATGAAATTAAAATAAAACAGAAAACAACATGCCAGGAGAGAGCAAAAGAATTTAAATTTCGTCGATGTGGATTTAAAATAAAGGAAAATTCAAGAAATAAGTAAATGATTCAAATGAAAGTGAAAGAAGAAAAAAATTTATAGATTAAATCATAAAACTGTTAAAATAGGTAGCCAATTTTTTTATTTTTCAAGTGACACAAAAAATTTTAACTTCAGCTCGATTTGAACTTTAAAACCGATTCGATAATTCAAATTGATTGGAATAACTCAACTCGAATAAATCAAAATTAAAAAAATATATTTTTTAAGTTAAGTCAAATTTTGGTCACTCCTACAACCGAATACAATCAATTTTTTTATTAGTAACTAAATACAATCAACAATTAATAAAATTAATTTAAAAGTTTTGACTTAATACACTCTTTAGTGCATAAACTATACCTCAAAATACTATTCAGTGTCTAAATAAATTTTTGCTAACAATAGGTGACTAACGTTTTCTTCATTATACCATTATATTTTTTAAAACTTTTAGGTACCTATCATTATATTATTTAAATTTTTTAATAATAAAAATGTTATTTAAAAAAATTAGAAAAATCAACTCCGCGTCATCCCTCTCCCTCCCACTCCCACCGCCAACGACAAAGGATCACCACCTGTCGGATTTTATTCAGAGCAAGACGGTGAACACAACAGTGGTGGTCGCGTAACGTACAGACGGCTATAGTCGTCGAAATTGTCGGAAAATAGCAACGAATAACCTAGAAATCCAATGACCTTCGTAGCGTTTGTCACAACGATCGAAATAGTTTCACAGTGAATGGGGATTGGGTTTTGGTTGCGATGGCCAGACGATTCTGATGGTTTCAACGGTAACTATCACACACCAACGGTGGCCTATCGTCAACGGAAGATATAAATTTTGGAGTTTTTTGGTTTTTAAAATTATAATATTAAGCTTTTTAAATAAAATAAATTTTTAAATTTTTATATGCATGATATTTATTAGATAACGACCAAATTTAATGATAGTTATAGTACAGACACCTAAGAGTGTAACGTTAGAACTGTTAGGCACCTATTGTTAGCAAAAAAAAATCTTTAGGCACCAAATCATTTTTTGAGGTATAGTTTAGGCACTAAAAATGTATTAAACTAAAAATATTTAATAAATTAAAGGGAAATACACCATTCCTCACTAAATTATAATCTCTTTCCTATTTTACTCACTATACTTTCATTTTTTTCTAATTTACTCACTAAACTTTTGAATTGTTCTTCTTTTGATCATTCTGAATCATTTTATTATTATTATCTCTATATGACATGACATTTTTATTAATATTTAATATAAAATAATTGAAAATGTAGAATAAAATAAAAGGTGGTTGGATGTCACCACTGGTCATTGTCGACCGCCATAGAAGGTGATCATTCGGTCCCAAATTTCATGGGTAGATTCCTCTCGATCCTCTAAGTATGAATCTGATTGTTGTTTCAGCGGAAAATGTCCCAAAACTCGTAAATCTCGACTGAAATATTTCGAATTTCTCACTTTCAATCTCTAATTCGTGAACTTCAAAGCAAGTTCTGATAAAATGAAGATTGATTCAGACTCAATGTGTTAAGGTGAAGTGACCCATAAAATTTGGAACCGAACGACCACCGTCTACTGAGATCGACAATGGCCGACGGTGGCATCCAACCACCATTTGTGTTAATTTTATATTTTTAATTATTTTATATTAAATAAAAATAAAAATATCATGTCATACATAAATAATAATAAAATAATTCAAAATGATCAAAACAAGAACAATTCAAAAATTCAGTGAGTAAATTAAAAAAATTAAAAGTACGGTGAGTAAAATAAGAGAAATAATATAATTCAGTGTAGAATGATGTAATTTATCAAAAAAATATTAGCCCAATTGAGTGGTTGAGTAATAGGCCCAAAGAGTAAATGTTAAAAGTACAAAGCTTCTAATTTCTTCTTCCCCAAATCTCTCTCCCCTTTGTTCCCTTCGGTATTTGCTCGAGTTTGGGTTCTCGAAATCTCATCTCGAAAATGCTTGCTCGGCTCGCGTCCCAGCGTTTTCTCGAGATTCGTCAAGCTTTCCGTCAATCTCCTCAGGTATTCATTCCCCTTTATTTATTTCTCGTCGTTTCCGTCATTTTCTGCTCATCCAAACACCTCCTCGATCTCATTTCTCTGTTCCGCAGGCATATCGATCCTTCTCCACTGCCTTGAACTATGTAAGTTCCAATCTTCCACATTACAATGCCGATTTTTAGGGATTTTCCCTTAATGGAAGAAATAGCTGATTGAACGAATTTGGGTTTTTCCCCTGCAGCATCTTGATACCCCAGATAACAATCCCGACCTTCCATGGGAATTTTCCGAGGCAAACAAAGCAAAAGTCAGTTCAAATGAAATGTTTGCAATTGAAGTTATGGGTTATGTTTTCTCCATCATTGTAGATTGCAAAACTTTTGATTTTGAGGGTATTATTAGATTGTGGATTTTGGGATTGGGTAAAGATTTGAGCAGCTCTTACGATATCCAATAAGTTTAAGATATTGAGACAAAGGACATTCATTTTGCTTTCATTACTTATATGGACTTAAAGAATCGCCTGTTGCTAATGGTTGCTTAAAAGCGTGTTTGTTCTAAGCTATGCTACTCCTACTATTCATTTATTTGAAGCATCCTTTCCCGATACTCGTGTCCAATATATCATAAGGATATTTCCTTCCAAGGATCTTTTAAATACTTGGAAAAATATTAGAAAATAAATTAACTTTATCATTTCAGATGTTCACACTGAGTCTGAGTATCATGGATTCGAAGAATTCTAGGAGAGAAGAATACATATATTTTTCTCTTCTTTTTACATTAATCTCTTTTGAATTTTGTGGAAGTTGGATAACTTGGATTAGATTTAAATTTACTTTAGGTATTTTAAGTGGCTTAATAGTTTATAACATTTTTAAAATCCAAATTTGATTATGTTCTTAATTCAAACTTATTATGTAGGTCAAGGAGATACTGTCTCATTACCCATCCAACTACAAGCAATCTGCAGTTATTCCTTTGCTAGATCTTGCTCAGCAGCAGCATGGAGGATGGCTTCCTGTTTCAGCAATGAATGCTGTATGTGGCATGAATAATGTTAAATAAATTTGATTGCACGTATTAATTCTCTCTGGTCTGTATGTTTAATTTTTTAGGAAGTATGTGATATTTAGTTAATATGAAGAATCAGACCTATGATTGATGATTCTTTTGGACTTGAAAACTAACCACTTTTGGAGACGAAGCAGAGTATTGATTTTGGCTTAATATTAAATGTTTGCCCTCTGTTTGGTTTCTGGTTTGCAATTAATATGCTGTTTTAAAGCCAAAATGCATTAAAAACTTGTACTTCATGAAATATGTATGGTTTTTAACCTATAATGCTAAATATAATAGAAAAAAATTGCTTTTAGATGAAATTTTTGATCGAGTGAAAGCTGTTTTTGATGATTTTAATAAAAATTTCCCAAATCATATTTATTAGATTTTCAACAATCTCCAGGTTCTATTGTCTGATCTATTACAAATGCCTTTTTAAGTACCCCTTTTTTTCTCATTTTGATAGCATTTATGCATGTCCTATATTGCTGGTGAACTTTGAGCAAGTAGATCGCAAATTTGATAGAGCTGCCTGCTGACCTGATACTAATACCCAGTAGAAGGATTGCTAGCGTTAACCAGGCAGGCAAATTGCTTAATCTTGTCCTACAATTTTACCCTATGCTCTCTACTTTTACTGCACCACACAAAGCAAAAGGGGAATTCTTAACCATGTTAGTACTGGACTAGTAGTGTCTGATCTCGTGTTAATAATAATATACAACGTGATGTGACTGTAGATTCAAGTTGATGAATGTATAGGGCATGTATAGAAAGGAAAAGTTGATACAATTTAGGGGTACAAAGCAGGATGATTACATCTAGAATTATTCGAGCTGAGGCTCAATTTGATTGTTAGACTGAATACATAATTGTCATTGCAATATTCGTCTTTTCTATAGCTAGTTTTCTCTATCTGAAATTGTGAAAGAGTGATATTTCGCTAGATCTTTTAACTACTGAAACACTGCCTGTGTAAGCACATTTTTAGATCACCTAGTATTGCATGGACATTACTTAATCATGCATTACTGAGTTATTAAATTTCTGCTTGAAATGGAACCCTGGTAGTGGTAAGTCCGAATAGAGAATTCTTTTTTCTTTTTTTTTTTTGCTGTGGCTAAGCAAATTAGTTCAACTAATTTGAATGGGCATAGTCCTTTTCTTAATGCAAAAGTTAAATGAATTATATTCTGAATCAAACATGTAATTGGTTGAGCAGGTTGCAAAGGTTATAGAAGTTACACCTATTCGTGTATATGAGGTTGCAACATTTTATTCAATGTTCAATCGGTCAAAGGTCAGAATTATATCTTTATTTGGCACCTTGAAGCCTCTTTATGGAAATATCAATGAACAAAGTTACAGTACCTAGAGTTTATTCAATTGTTCTCAGGTCGGGAAATATCATCTATTGGTTTGTGGAACAACCCCTTGTATGATTCGTGGTTCACGAGAAATTGAAGAAGCCTTATTGAATCATTTGGGGGTTAAGCGCAACGGTAAATTCTGTAATTTTTTGTACTTATAATTTAACATCTCTCAAAACCCATGTCAGATTTTGACAATTTAGATAGCGTTGAATATTGAGTATCTATTGTTTCTGTTGTTCAGAGGTAACAAGCGATGGTTTATTCTCAGTTGGAGAAATGGAATGCATGGTAAGTCTTTTCCTTTATCGTTATCGGTCCAGATCTGTATTTTCTTAATTAGCTTTTTAGCTTCATTTTTTATGGTATATAGAAGTAGAAATGGCAGTAGTCATACTTAATCAACTTATGGCTAGTGTTCCCAGAAGATCTCTGGAGAAGAAATGCGTGAAAACCTGTTCGCCTTAATCTGTAGGATTGTTTTTTGGCTCAACTTTCCTTATTATCCATGTATTGCTACTTATCCTTACTGTAATGGATTTTGTCTAGACAAATTGCAATTAGGAGGTCAAAGTCTATGCTACACTGACCTTTATCCATCATTAGACTGGCAAGTTTGACATTTTAGTAATTTGTTTCCCGTAGGGATGTTGTGTAAATGCTCCTATGATCACTGTTGCTGATTACTCCAACGGATCTGAGGGATATACGTATAATTACTATGTGAGAACTCCGTTAAACTTTCTTTACTTTATTTACTGTAATTCCGTCTGGTCAATTGATGAAAATGTACTTGAAATTATTATTATTATTATTATTTTGGTACATAGATTAACAGAACTAAACCGTGTTTAAGCCTAACCTTTCATGTTTAATAATGCAGGAAGATGTTACTCCAAAAGGAGTTGTTGAGATAGTTGAGAAGCTAAGAAAGGGAGAGAAGCCACCGGTAAAGTGCAACTGGTTTTGCTAACTGGAATTTATCGGTTTTTGCTTCCATAGTGATGCCACTAATGTAAGTTTCGATTTCTCTCCCATATTTCAGCATGGCACACAAAATCCTAAACGTATCAAGTGCGGACCAGAAGGCGGAAATACCACTTTGCTAACTGATCCGAAACCTCCCCCATGCCGAGACCTCGATGCCTGCTAATGTTAACATGTTAGTGCTATCTCAAATAATGCAAAGCTTGGGTTCTTCCAGGCTTTCTTTTGGTATATTTTCTTGTTGAGTTTGTCATGATCAACCAATCATATATTTCAATCTTCCATGGAATTTCAACTTGGTATAAGAGACTCAAATTGCTTTGTACGACATGATTGATGTTGATGCTTTTGCTGCTATAATCTTCTATGAAAGCAGTGGGTATTCAAATACCTTAACCATCGGATTTTCTCAGTTACCACTGCCTAGAACCATATGTTATTCGAATTTGATGAAAGGTGTATTTCAACATAAATGAATATCGATGTAATAGAAGTGTTGATGGTAACAATGTGGTTGTATCGACTGTTTGCTGTTCATCTCTTTTGATTTGGGCAGAGATTGAGAACTGGTGTTTTTTTATAGCGGTTGACTGATAATATTAATGATAGATGGTTAAGTCACAAGGAAAGAAAATCGTTAAGTCAGAATAGTGAAGAGAGTTTCCTTTCTTGAACTTATAAAGTGATTTTTGTGGTTGATAGTATCGGACTTAAGTCTATAATTGTTGTTCATAAGTCGATAAAGTAAATAGATGTGACTATCCATCAATAGAGTTGAATCTCGTTAGATTTCTTGGAAGATAAAGTAAATACCTGTCAAGAAGTGATCCGGGTTGGAAGATGTTAGAGGGTTCAAATGATTTGAGAGCTACAAGTATAACACTTTGTCTCTATTAATCGAAGAAATGTACAAAATGATCTTATCCGATATTAGTGTGCAAAGGTGTTTTCTTAGTCAAAGGCTCTCGACGCCTTTGCATTGCCTCAAGAAGGGCCTCAACGATTTTCGGGTGACTTAGAGTTAGTTTGATAATGCTTTGTAAAAATATTTTTAGTTAAAAAATTCCTTTTTGGTTGTAAAATTAATGTCATGAGTAAAAAATTAAAAAGAAAATTACAGTGAAAACTGTGATTTTAAACTAACTTCAAAAAGCTAGTATTTCTAACTTTTTTAATTTTAACTTTACATTTAAAGCAAATTATAATTTTACCCTTATTATTGCAGGAGTTTCACTTAATTATGTATTTATATTTTATTTTAATAATTTAATACTAATAACTTATAAAATAATTTATTACTTTTAATAATTTATTTTAATTGTTTAAAAATAAATAAAAAACATGATTTATATATTAAAATATTAATAATAAGTTATATAAAAAATAATTATATTTTTATTATAGTTTAAATTGATATATATATATATATATATATATATATATAAGTGTGAATATAATTTAAATGTTATATTTTTAATTTACAACATAATGTCTATAATAGATATTTTATCTTTTAAACTAACATTTTTGTACAACACTCTTAAAAAAAATCATTTCTACAATACTTTTAAAAGTTATTTTAATCTGAACCTGATTTACTTCAAAAAGAGTTGATGTCTGACCCTGTGTATTTTATCCACGGAAAATTCTCTCTTAAAATCTTTATAATTTAAGTTGTTTACCTATAAAATGTTTATACAAACTTAAAAAGATATGATGAAAAATACACAAATCGTGATTGCAGTTGCAGCTCCAACTTATAGGTAGTTATCAAATGAATTTCCTTTAACATAAACCAACCCACTTCTTGAAACTCAATGCAGCTTCCCTCTTCTTTAGCAGGGATTCTGTCTGGAATTTGGAAGCCTTGCCCTTGTAAAGTGTTTTATGGTACTTCAAGTCCAGGGTTCGATACTTGTACTTGTCGATGAACATGTCTCCTTTTTCATCATGTCGACAACTTCGTTAGCTCGAACGAAAAAGCCTCCCCTTACAAAGGTATATAGGTAAGAATCCAGAAGCTCCTGATCGAACTTCATCGGGGTGGAAGAAGCAAGTGATTTCATTTCACCCCAGAGCTCGGTTACCTCAATGTATTTACCTCCAATAGCAGAGTATCCTATGACCATCGAATGGAAGGTTTGAGCATTCAGAGTACGCCCCAGGCTCCTCATTTTTGCCAGAGCTTTTTCGGCAACTACCATTAACCTTTTCTTACAGAAGAAATGGATTACATTGTTCCAGTCGTGTACTCCGCTGTCCAGTTCCTGGCATTCCCTGATTTCTCGGAAAAGCTTTGTCATTAACCCTGCTTCACCATTGCCTGCACATCCCTCAACCAAACGCTCAAATTCGGCATTGCCACCTCTGGGTATCTTGGCCTTCTTCATCTCCTTGAATAGGCCGAGAGCACCTTTGCTATCCTGTTGAAGCACTTGGGATTGTATCAATGCGTTGTAGCAGCTAGAATCTAGTTGGATCCCAGCCTTCTGTGCATCTCGTAAAAGTGACGTTACTTCGCGTGGACAGTTTGCTTTACAATATGCTTTTAAGAGGGATGCATATACAGAAGAACCGGTTCTAACTCCAGCAAAACGCATCTCATCCAAGAGGTCATGTGCTTGATCTAACCACCAAAGTGAAATGCACGAGTTGATAACGTGAACCCAACTGAGCCAAATTCCGGACCTTCCCCGCTTCAAGAAAAGCCTTAACCAATTTCACATAAATTTTTCTGTTGGTTTTAGAATACCATGTTCAGTAGTAATCAATTCAACTTGTGTCTGCAACTTAGCTAGTAAACTGAGAAGTACTTCCTTAGCCTCATTTCCGAGTTTAACAAAATTTCTATCTCTAGAGAACTCATCGTAAGATATAATCAGATTCTCTATTAAACAGTTGTTACGTGAGTCATCGGGTCCATCTTGGCTTGGATTTGGCCCAGAATTATGTGCAGTAGAGGATATGCTATCATTTCCAGCAGCGTGAAGCACAAGTGTAGCAGCAGCGAGAGAATTCCGCGCCTCCTTTTCTTTCTGTAGCATTTCCAAGACCATATTGGTGGCAGAATCAAGATCACCAAATTTTAAATGGCATGTAAGCAAACAATTATAAAAAAATGTCGGAACTGAATATCAGTTAAGTTGCAAGCTTCATCGATGTGCCTCTGAAGTTTCCTCAGCTCTTTTCTTAGCCCATTTCTTTCATATATGTGTGCCATCATAATCAGAAAGTTTGCATCAGATTTTACACCAATTCGAGGCATCATATCGAGGAGTTGTTCTGCTTTTCTTGTTGTCCCGAACGAAAGGCACCCGGCCAAAGCAATGTTGAAAGCAATAGTATTAGGCTTCATAGCAATCAATGGCGCTTTACTCTTCTTACGAGGGTCCACCCTTCCATCCTGGAACAGATAACCCATCTCAAGAATCAATTCAGCAACTAGGTAAGCACCGGGAGCCGTTTTTGACATGTGTGCCAGGATTGCTGACCATGCAATTACAGGCGGAAATTGTTCGGTTTCCACCAATTTTCTCAGAATGGTTGACGCAGGAACTGGCAAACCACATTTAGCAAGAGCAAGAGAGATAAATCAGAGGTTCCTTCTCCAACAGTTTCTGCTTACTCTCCTGAAAGGCTTGTTCGACCATCCCAAAAGCTTTCTCAAGCCATAGAACATCAAGGCTTTCTGCAAAACCCATCAGAACTCTGTTCACAACGGATTTTCGAGGAAACCCTTCCATGTGCATGTGCTGTTCATAAAGCTTCGAAGCATCGTTATATCTTCGCTCTTCGATTGCATCAAGTATTTCCATATTTAGTTTGGCAGGGTCTCGAGCCTGGAGAAAGATTGTACCAGCCATCGTTGAAAATAGCATCAACCTATTCGGACGACTCGAAGATGCATTTAGCGTAGTTAAGTTGTTTGAAAAGGAGTCAGAGACACAACAAACCAACCTATGATTCCCATAAACGGGATACAGGCATCTGCAAATCCTAGCAACACTATAATGCCTATGAGAAACTAAGGCATATACGAAAGAAGGGGTGACAGCAATGAGTGAACCTCTAATTTTCCTCATGGCAAGCAATTTCCCAGAAATAAAACGCTTACTTGGATCAAAACCTGTAAGATTAATGGCTTTTGTTTTCTCAGAACCCTACTTCAAATCCACATAAAGTTAAAAACTACAGGTTTAGATATAAGCATAAAACCATGAAAATAATGGTAAAACATGGAAGAGTCAACCGGGATTGTTATGCGAAGAAATGGTTAGTCATATTTAATCGAAGTTATAGTTAGTTAATAAAAACCTAATCTTTCGAGCAGGCACAAGTCTAATCCTCCGTGAGGCATTTTATCGAATACACCACAGACATAAACGAATCCTGGAAGAAGGGAACTAAGAACCATTTTTCATCGAGTAAAAAAGCTACAAACTTACAGTGAATTTGGAAGCCATTATTTAGGAAGGGTCATTAAAATTGGAAAAGGGAAATCATGCTAGTGAAGTCGAAACTGCACGTTGTTATTCAAGGAAGCCGCCATAAAAAAAATGAAAATCATGGTTGTTCTCCAATTTCTCAAACTTTTAAGCGCCCATTTGGTTTTGGTTTGGGCTTAGGGGGAAATGGCTTAATGCAGGATTGAGGTCCTGATCAATACCCATTTTCACACTATGGTACCTAAACTTATTTTCCCACTTCAGTAGTAGCTTTTCCTTTTTGGGATAAACTTTTTTTTTTTGGACTTTTTGGGATAACCTTGTTTGGATGAGGATTGGGAGTCGAGTTAAATTTTCGATCGCTTTGATTTCAATAGAAAATTAGTAATTTTTAACTGATCTTTTCACCTTGGGTATAGAGGTTATTTCACCTATTTTGAACTCGCTCAAAATTTAGAAGTGAAAAATTATCCCTAATCATGTTTATTCTAAAAGATGGAGAGATAATTGAATGTATATATATAAAAGGATAATATAATAATTTTCTTTAAATATATAAAGAGATAATTATATAATAATATCGGGTTGAACCATTTTTTACTTTAAATCTAACCTTGATCTCGATTTTTTTTAAATAAAATAAAAAAATAAAATATTTTTAAATTAAGTTAATAATAAAATATATTTAATAAGTTGATATTAAATAATATTTTTTAAAGTTAATATATATCAAATATTATGAATTTAAGTATATATACGTTAAGATACAAAATATATACATCATGTTGTTTATTGTAAACCACACATTGGTCTTGGTTAAATGGTTAGGTACTGTTGAACAATGTTTTATAATATTTTGATATAGTAAATAAAGGCAAAATGTTTTTGGACTTGATTAGATTTATTCAAAGTTTTCAAAAATAATTCAAAGTCTATTAAACTAGAA